GGTTGCCAGTGTCCTTACAATCAGTTCAAATTAGAAAGAGATGGGAGAGAGGTACAGAGAGAAACATCCTCAAGAGAGAAGCCAGGATCTTTTGTAACCAAATCTCAGAAATGACATACCATCATTTTTGCTATTGGTCACACTGACAACCGCAATACAATCTGGGATAGGAGTATACAAAGACGTTTATACCAGGAAAAAGAATCATGTGTGATCATCTTGGATGGCGGCTACCACAAAAGGCATAACCCAAATATTTAAGAAAACTAAAATGTAACATGATTTGATAAATGATGTGTATAAGGAAAAAAAATACTTCACTTAAACATTTTTCTCACATTCGCACAGTAGCTATCATAACTAAACCTTGGGAAACAATATGTAAGTGTAATACACTACTTGACACTATAGTGAATAATACATAATCCTAATAATATAAATGTTATAAATGATGCCTATTAAATTACAGCTTTGAGAATCATCCTATATATTAAGCTTAATTATAATTACTGAACAAATTGACAAATGTTAGAATATGTGTACAGATTTCAAAAGTTAAGTGGTTAAAAGGGGCTGAACAAATTAAAGGAAGGAGAAAAATGCTATTAGAGACTTCTTACAAAAATAAATGATGTTAATCTTACTTATGCAATAATAAATAGAAAAGTAGTCAACAGAGAAACTAATAATATTATGTTATGTACTAATACAAGAAAACAAGATTAGTAAGCTAAATATCCATCAGAATAGCAGGTCAAGTGTATGTCCAAACCTGTTAAATCAAGAAAACATGGCATAAACTTATCAAAATAGATAAGGAAATAAGCATTTCAAAAACAAAACACAGGAAGGAATAAAATTCAGTTATTCCTAGAAATAAAAGTGAGAAACCATTGTCATTTTTATTGTACATTCTTCTATACTAGCTTTGTTTTGTCTTAGTTTTCATTTTTCTTAGCTATATGTCTGTATTACTTTAATTTTTAAAGAAATTCCAATATAAAAGAATGTTGATATTGTAATTATTAGAAAACAATAAGACAATATGCCTCAAAAATATACATACTCCTTAACTGTGCAATTCTACTCCCAAGAATTTATAACTGTAGCATTGTTTCTTACAGCAAAGAAACTAAAAATAATATATCAGTAAAAGATTGGTTCAAAATTACAGTACATATAAAAACTGGAATTCTATATATCTAATATATATAGAATTATAATATAGGTCATTCGGAGGGCCATAAAAGACAATTGTAATATACCATTATATAAAGAGAAGTTACAAAATCAAACATTGCAAAATTTCTGTTCTAAGGTTTACATGTATAAGGGAAGGAAGCATATACACATTCACATGTACAAAACTACACTTTGCACAGAGTCTAGAATGAAATGCCAAAATATCATACTATCAAGGAAATCATATTAACTTTGAAATTGTATTCACTTTTAAAGTGTTTTGCTTATTTTTTCAGAGCTATTTGCATATACCACTTTTATAATCTGAAAAATTATTCAGTTTGAAAAATAATAAAATTCACTATGCAGAAATTGATTGTGAAAAAAATAATATGATGAAATGTTTATCCACATGAGAACATTTACGATAGTGTTATAAAAAAAATTAAGAAATGATATTTAATACCTACTGGTCAAGTCCAGTCAGGGACAGAAACCGCACCAGTTATTTTAACAGAGAGAATTTAATATAAAAAATTGTGAGTTCAGTGTTTGAAAATTGATGAGGGAAAAGGGAACGCTAAGTTATCAAAAGGTAGCAGCAAAAAACACCTGCAGATTGAGCATTTCTAATCAGAAAGTATGAAATCCAAAACCTCTAAAATCTAAATTTGGGAGGCATTGTTAGCATGTCAGGATTTTAGAGCACTGCAAATTTCAGATTTTCAGAGCAGGGACACTCAATTGTTAAAGTCTATGTAAAAACTTCAAAATCTGAAAAACTCTGAAATCTGAAACACTTCTAGTCCCAGGCACTTCAGATGAGGAATAGTCAAGATATACCAGAAAGTAATGAGTGTTGCCAAGAACGTGGAGAACTGGAACCCTGTGCATAGCTGGTAAATGTAAAATGGTACAGCCACTATGCAAAACAGTATGGCAATTCCTCAAACAATTAAAAATAAAATTACCATATAATCCAGCACTTTGATTTCTGAATGCATATACCCAAAAGAATTCAAAGTACAGTCATGAACAAATATCTCTGTATACCCACATTCATGACAGTTTATTCACAACAGCCAAAAGGGAAAAGCAATCCAAGTGTCCATCAACAGATGAGGGAATGAACAAAATGTAATACACACACACACACACACACAATGAAATATTATTCAGCCTTAAAAGAGAAAGAAATTCTGACACCTGAATCAACAATGAATAAACCTAAAGGACATTACACTAAGGATAAGGCAGTCACAAAAGGTCAGATATTTTATGATTCCACTTACACAAAGTACCTAGAGTAGTCAAATTCAGGGATAGAAAACAGAAGAGTATTTGCCAGGGGCTAGGGCTGAGGGAAATGGGGAGTTATTATTTGATTGGTATAGAGATTCAATTTTGCAAGAAGAAAAGACTTTTGAAGATGAACAATAGTAATGACACTGTTCATAGTAAACAACAATGTAAAAGTACTTACTGGGGGTGGCGGGGGTGCCTGGGGATATAGCTGAGTTGGTAGAGTGCTTGCCTCACATGCACAAGTCCCTGTGTTCAATCCCCAGCACCACCACCAAAAAAAAAAAAAAAAAAAAAGTACTTATTGCCAATGAGCTATATCCTTACTAATTATTAAAATGGTAAATTTTATGTTATATGTGTTTTACTTCAACTTAATTTTTTAATTACATAAAGCTTTAAATTATAAAAGTTTTAATAGCAAACAACCCTGTTAAACTACTAATTCTAATCTTTTTCAATTAAATATCAAGTTATAGGGATTTAATTTGAACTACCATCAGGTCATCAGGCTACTATTTGTGTAACTGATTTCTTAATCTAAATATAGTACTTCAGATTTTTTCCTATTAAATTTCATTTTGCTTGTTTCCTAAAAAATGAAAAGCTGCCACAACTACTATCACTGATTCTGGTAAAACAAAGGGAAGAAGACAGAATTAAAGTTAGAAGCTTAGAGGCAGGGTCCTACCTTGGAGCTGACACTAAGGCCCCTGAGAAGGGTATGGGGTAGTGGGAGGATGCCACTCAGGGAAGCAGTGGGATGATGCAAGGACACTACAAGGAGCAATCAGCTGCTGCTATTGAAACAATAGCATCTGTCAGGGTGAAGAAGTTTCCTGGGTTCATGCAAACAGGACCGGAAGTTAAAAAAAACAAAGGCACGTTTCTTCTTTCAACCTTCCAGCCTCTCTCTAGTGCCCCCTATTACCAGAGGCTAACAAAAAGCCAGATGCCAAAAAAAGAGACTGAGATCAAAAAAAAGTATAACCGTGAATTTAAATCAAGGAGAGAAAATATTTATTAATCAGTAAAAATATTAAAATGACAAAGTAACCACCAGCTACTGGATCCTTAGTAGGTACCAGCCACCATTAAATACTTCATACACATTACTTATTTAATCCATACATTATAATGTCCATTTTAATGATCAGAAAGCAGAGGCTCAAAAAGGATCAGTCCCTTGACTACAGATGTAGTAAGTAGCAAAGATAGAATTCAATTTTAGATCCAACTAATCCTAAAATCCATACTTTTAACTAATTAAAACCAACCCAAAGGTCTACCCAAAGGGAACTATGATAAATCCATATATACATTAAAACCATGTTCTAGAAGACTTTTTTCACATAGGAACATATTCCCAATAAATTGATGTTTTTTAAAAAAAGGCAACTTTAAAAATGATAAGTGTAATGTAATCTTTTTTAAAATTAATACACATAAAAACTACATGGAAAAATTATTGATAAGACATGACCCGAATTATTATTCATGTAATCGGAGACTGTTTTTGGTGGCTTTTACTGTTGTCATTCTGTGTGGGGTAATGTGTTTTCCATACTTTCTACCTTTTCTATATCAAATATATAAATAAATCCTATCAAATATATTTTTTTGCCTAACTGATCTCAGCAATTTTGACAATAACATACCCAGAGCACCATCCCAAATTATTCAACTATTAATTTATATTATGAGAAGAGAAAAATATTCAGGGAAATATAGAGGCTTTATTTTTAAATCAAAGAATTTCAGAACTATAAAAATAATATCTTTTCTTGGGGTCATAAATGTTTTTTACTCATTTGGTTAAAACTGGAGTTATTATTTCATGCAAGTGAAGAGTAAATGTATTCTGCATAAACAAAACCATACCAAGAATACATCAAGAACATGAAGGAGCCAGGCGCAATGGCGCACACCTGTAATCCCAGCAGCTCAGGAGGCTGAGGCAGGAGGATGTGAGTCCAGCCTCAACAAAAGTAAGGTGCTAAGCAACTCAGCAAGACCCTGTCTCTAAATAAAATACAAAAAAGGGCTAGGGATGTGACTCAGTGGCTGAGTGCCCCCGAGTTCATTCCCCAGTACCAAAAAAAAAAAAAAAAGGAAAAAGAAAGAACATAAAGGAGCAACTTCAAGTGCTTGATAAACAAAATGAATTATCTTAATAAATAAAAGGGTTTGTGACTTCAAAGTGTTATATGTCAGGGGCATCCACACACAAAACTTAGCTAACCCTCACTCCTAAGCTGTTGCTTTTTTTGTTGTTTTGTTTTGGTTTTTTGTTCAATAGTGGAGGTTGAATCCAGGGGTGCTCTACAACTGAGCTACATCCCCCAGAAGCCAGATCCTTATTTTTAATTTCTGATTTTAAGAGAGGGCCTAAATTGCCCGGGCTGGGCTCTAACTTGCCATCCTCCTGCCTCAACCTACCAAGTATCTAGAATTACAGGCACTCGCCACAACACAAAACCATTTTTTCAAATTACAGTTTCAAAATAATCACTTACCAAACACTTTTCCTTTAGCAAACGGAGGGAACAATTCTGAATGTCGGAACAAGTTTTTGTGAATTTGCCATAGTTCTTTGTGCAGTTTCTTAAAATCACTATATCTCTTCCATACGATTATCTAAAGAAAAAAAAATTAAGTGTGTTTTTCATAGCATTTGTACTCCTGTACCTTAACAATGAATAATCTTGAAAGTTTTCAAACTCATAATACAAAGCAAACATTTATTCTAATCAACAGAGTTAACTGTCTGAAATTAATTAAAAATATAAAGCAACAATTTCTCCTCATTGGTCTCTTTGGGTCTTTAAATTTATTTTAAACAAGTACTATTTTATTCAAACTGAAAATATATTCAACCTTAATATTGATATAGCATAAACTTTCTTTGTTGAATCAAATGGCATTTAATATCTGGAATGGCCTGGAAATGAGTTAAATGTCAAAATGTTTTCTATCTCAAAAATAATTTGTTTATTAAATACAACATAACTAAGTAAATTTTTAAACACAAACTCAACCTTTGCCTAAACATATTAATAAACTGAGTAATACTGCAAAAGAAATGCCTGGGTAGCAAGTAGTTAACTGTTTTATTGCATAATTGTTTTCATTAATCTCAATTTGAGCTAGTAAAAAGGGGGCAAGGTAAATACTGATCAGAATAGCAATAAAACTACTGTATTTCAAAAGATAAAACAATAATCATTAAAGATTGGATAACATAAAAATGAGTCTACTTTCATTAATTTGAATTATTTAGCATCACTTTCATTATATTAGGGGAAAAAAAGAGAAAACTTTGCAAAAATAAAGTATCTGACATATAACCTTGAAATCACTAAGGCACCCCTCAGTCTCCACAAATAGGACAAAAACTGAGTTTTAAATTCTGTTACACAGTTGAGTTTTAAATTCTGTTACACAGTTGACTGGGGTCTGCATTTCTAATCACTTTTCTTCTAACAAATTCTAAGTGTCTTCATTCACAACAGTGTGTGATGCTAGTGACTAAACAGCAGTTTAGGCAGGCAACCAACATGATTTAAGAGATTCTTGCCAAAAAACCTACTGTTTCGAACAAAATTCTTTACCCAACTTTGTCTTACTAGCAAAAATTCTACCTTAATTATTATATTCCTTATTTAATATAGCTATAATCCTAGGAGGGTAGGCAGCTTTACTATGAATTAATGTAAACAAAGTGCTTCCTCCTGCTGCTTCACCTTAATATCTACTCAACAAAAGCAGTCACCAAACAAACATTTTCATGGCCCTATTTAGCACTAGGCACCATATTCCCAAAAAATAGATGAGAAACACAGTCCCTGCCTTCAAAGAGTTTACAGTTTAGTTGGGAAGAATAAGCCACACCATAAATACAAGGCAAGATGTCTTCATAAATGCTAAAGGCACGTGTTACAGAGAGACTCCTAAACCAGCTTGGGTATTTGAGAAGGCTCCTTTGAGAGAGTTGCCTGAAGGGAAGCAGTCATCAGATTAAAAAAAAAAAAAAAAAAAGTAGGAGAGGGAAGGCGGAGGGTGAAGTTCTTAGAAGGAAAGAAGGATGCCAAAGATGACCTAGATTTTTGGCTTTTGTGTGTGGGTAAGTGGAGGCATCCTTCCCTAAGGTGACAAGCAAGGAAGAAACAGGACTGAGGCAAGAAAGGGCAACAGTTCTAGATGTCTGGATTAGGGGCATGGGAGTCATCTCATTGGAGGTGTTCTACAGGATACATGGGTTTGGGCTTAAGAACAAAATCTATTAATTCAGAAGCTGTGAGCATATTGGAGGTAATCACTCAGATGTTCTCAGTGTTCCTAACAAGATGATCAGTCTAACAGAATAGTAGGACACACTAATAGCAAAGGACCAGGCAGAAAAAAGGAAGAGGAAACTAATACAAACTGTTTAAGAAACCTGGCTGTGCTTTGAGAAGGTTACTAGGATAGAAAAAGATTGTATTTTACAATGGAAGTGAACAAGACAAATGCTCATAGCAAAGAACCAGTTGTTCTAGTAACAGGCAGAACAAGAGAAATAAACTGACAATCAAGCCAACATTCAAAAAGTAAAAAAGTCTCAGGATAATGAAACTACAGGTGATTTTAGCTATCATAGTTTTTGCTTCTCTGTGGTTTCTAATCTGATACGTGAACATAATTCTGTCACCAGGAAAAAAGAGTTAATTTTATATTTTTAAAATGTTTTAGCTTATAGTAGTACTACACTGCCAAGGTATTAGAAGGAACTGGGTGATGGCTTATGAAAGGAATGTCTTATGTGAGGTAAACACCATCATGAACTGGGTATTAAATAAGATTAAGGGTATTATAAGTCTTCCCCCCACACACACTTTTCTTTTTTTTTTTTTTTTGGTACCAAGGATTGAACCCAGGGGTACTTAACCACTGAGCTACATTCCCAGCCCTCTTCAATTTTTATTTTGAGACAAGGTCCCACTAAGTTGCTGGGGGCTCACTAAATTGTTGAAGGTGGCCTCAAATTTGCAATCCTCCTGCCTCAGCCTCCCAAGTCCCTGGGATTATAGGCAAGCACCTATTACAAGTCTTAAGGGGGAAAATTTAACAATTTAATCACAATAATGATTAAAGTTATCAGGGTATATAAGCCAATATATAATATTTTAGAGCAATAGTAAGAACTGCCAACATGAGGCAACATGAAGATCTGTGTTTCTTCACCAGGCCTTTATTATTCACTTACGCATTCCTTATTCTCAATACTGGGAATGCAAAACCAAAATACCTAAGAGCATTACAAAACATCACATCCACTGCCTCCTTTTCTTCTTATCCCTTTTAAACTTAGAATGTTTCCATAAATTTTCAAAATGGATAATTGAACAAAAGTACACTTGTAATAAATCAGCAAGTACTGATACTTATATGTGGACTACAAAAAGTCCCCAAAGACATATGTGAAAATTATTTTCTCTAACAAACATCTGATACTTTCCCACTGGAAAATATAATCATATAACATCTATTGCTTTGTTGAATCACACATGCACGGATTGCTTATTCATTAATAATAATTACTTATTATTATTTATTCACCAAAGATGGCTTTCTTTCATAAGTCATCACTTTGAAGAAAATTTATCAATGAAGTATTAATTCAGTGACAACCACACATAGACTACAAATTTAATAAAAGTTTGATCTTTATCATTAAAATATTTCCTTAGCTATTTTTAACATACAATAAATGTTTCCTTTCCAGGTAATTATATTTAATGACACCAAAAATTTTTAGATCCCTATATTTTACAAAATCATCTAATTCAATAAATTTTATCATTTTTACTCTCATATAGTACTTAAAACTGGCTGGATTATCATTTCTTGCAACCAACATCACTTCCATATTATTTGCATATGGATTTTCTTACTCCTCTTTTCAAGAACCTTTTCTATCAAGATACAATTCTAAGTGAACCTATTTTCTAAAACCTTTTTATTTATGAAAAGACATAACATTTACAAATTTTTGATGGCATATACAATGTTCTATTTTAGTTCCTTTCACCAATAACATGTGCTACCTGTACAGAAACAACTACAGGTTGCTATTTTAAAAGGGAAAGGATGGAGGGTATAACACCATCTCCTTCTTTACCCTTTTGGAGGATGCTCATGTTCAAGACAATCTAGTGAATGACAGGCCACAGATTAAACATTCCTGTAGTGCTGCAATTTCATTCATGTTTTTCTTTCTTTCTTTTTTTTTTTTTGTTATAAACTGAGAATTGAACCTAAGTCCTCACTTATGCAAGCCAAGTGCTCTACTATTGAGTAACAACTCCAGTCCTTTCTTAAGTTTTATTTTGAGATGGGGTCTCATTAAGTTGCACAGACTGGCCTTAAACAACTTGTGATCCTTCTGTCTCCTGAGTAACTGGAATTATCTTTTTCCCCCCCCCGCCCCCCCCTACTGTGATTGAACCAAGGGGTACTTAACCATTGAGCAACATCCCAATTCCTTTTTATTTTTTATTTTGCAATAAGATCTCCCTGAGTTGCTGAAGCTGGCTTTGAATGTGTAATCCTCCTGCCTCAGCCTCCCAAATCACCGGGATTACCGATAGACATGTGCCACCAAACCTGGCTCATATTATACTTCTTAATAAATAAAAACTGAGAGGAAATTTTTAAAACATTAAAAAAAAGCTATCCTAGATCATTTAATCTAATACCTGTGAGTATTCTTTATCATTCTTAAGAAGAAAATACTCAGATCTGGTGGCATGTGCCAAGATACAAAGGAAAAAAAACAGCAACTTTCTCCAGTTTTGTAAGGATAAAATATTATTGCCTCATATTTGTTGAACCAATAGTATGTCTACTAGTCCTCAAAAGTCCTTAGGAAGGCTGACTATACTCTAAAGCAGTAGCTAAATAAATTAAGTATCCAAGACGGAAAGTAAAAGAAAGAAAATGGAAACAAAAGTCTATGTGGTGAATTCCTACCTAAATGAGAATTCCTGTGTTTAAATGAAATAAACAAGAAACAAAAAAAAAAAACTACTATTATAATTTCAAGGTTATTCTATATTTTAAGAAGTCAATTAGATAGAAGACTTTTTTAAAAAATTATACTATTTCTAACAAAGGATCATGCAATTGTCTCACTAAAGGACACTTACAAGAGTTTTCTGATGAATGGTTCACCAACAGTTGTTATTATAAAAGAGTTTCCCCAAAAAAGGATTAAGGAAATAGCAGAGAGTATGTTCATGGATAGGTTGGTTCAGGATTCTCCCTGGAAAAGGGGAACATCAAGCTACAAACTACAGCATAGCAATCAGTGAATTCAAAGGAATCACAACTCATTTTCAATTTTAACAGAGCTGTAAATTTTCAAAAGCAGAACAGACTGGTATTGGCTATTAATTCAACATAATTAATAGAATTCCAAAAAAAATTAGTTTATACTAATCAATTGCTATGTAAGTAGAGAGTACTTTAAGTAATTGATGAATGCAAATTATTTTCATTGGCATGTATATCCTTTTCTTCCAAAATAACAATATTATAATACTCTTCCTATTGGGAAACAGAAGATATCTCAAAACACATGAGGAAATAGTATGAAATCTTTTTAACACATAAACAGATGGTAATGTATAAAATTTAAATATTTTCTAAATTTGGGGGTCATACCCTCAAACCAACCAGTACCAAACAATCAACTTAAATGTATGAATCAAGGCAGGTATGTGCACTGAGAAGTAGTGGGGCCTGTGGCTAAACAGAAATTTTATACTCCACCTAAACACTGGGAAAGACAGTAATATGCAGAATCAGTCCTGTAAATTCACAGCTTCTGTTTTAGACACTTCAGGGGAAAAAAAAATCCCCAAAATGTATCCTTCTAGAGTTAGTTAAAATGAGCAGAAATTAAAATGAAAGTAAATCAAAAAATTTTCAAAGAAGCAAGCTCTTTACAGGGGCTGGGAATATAGCTCAGTTGGTAAAATGCTTGCCTCACATGCATAAGGCCCTGGGTTTAATTGCCAGTACCACAGGAAAAAAAAAAAAAAAAGAAGAAGAAGCAAGCTAGCTCCTCAGTTAGGATATCCTAAAGATATTCAGCAAGCACAAAGTAATTACAAATGGAGAAGTCCACAGTTTTAAGCAAAACAACAGGCAGGTCATCTTCCTAAAGAGAGAAAAGGGGGAGGGGATAAAAATGCAAAGAGTTTGCAAAAGAACTATTAACTTTAAGAAGTTAAAAAGAAACATCATATTTAAAGTCATCTTCCAAGAATGTGAACATGCCAATTCAACATAAAAGTAGGTGAACTTCTACTTTTATTATTTATCACTATAATATTTAAATATATAAGACTTATTTTTTATTAAACAAGCACAATTTGAAATGAGTAAAGAGATACTCTTAACTATAATGACATCTTATGAGTATTAGTTACCAGAATAGCAATTTTTAAAATTCTGATTTATATAACTTAACACCTAATAAAGCTGAACACCTACTTAGTATGTTCTAAAATAGGATACTTCAGCTGCAGCTTTGAAAGCTAAAAATAATCTCCATACAAAGACTAACATACAAATAATTCAGATAGTTTTCTCAAAAAAACATTTAATTAAATTTTTATCAAATACATATAATGGAATTTTCATATGGATAAACATGTTACCTCCTGGACATCCTCTGGATTTCTTCGTGAAACAACCTAAAATAAAGCATATGCAGAAATACCTAATCATTATCAGAACTTGACTGCACATTTGTACAATTACTTTCAACAGAATTTGTATACAAAACTTGATTTGCTTAAAAGAAAATAAATATCACCTCTAAAAACTCAGCCATATAATAATTTCATTACCTATTTCATTAAATTCAATAAAATTTAAGGAAAAAAAGTAACTAAAATTAAGCCCAAGTATATTACAATTCATAAGAGAATGACTCCAGCCTTCATTCTTTTTTTTTTTTTTTTTTTTTGTGTGTGTGTGTGTGTGTGTTTGTGTGTGTGGTGCTAGGGATTGAACCCAGGGCCTTCTCATTCTTAATATAATTCTCAGAAGCTTGTCCACCCCACTTCCCGGCCTACACGTTATAAGCAGCAGCAAACGTAGTTAAAGTGTACAAAGGATCTTTGTATAATTTCTTACAATTGTACAGGAGGCTAAGGCAGGAAAATCACGAGCTCAAAGCCAGCCACAGCAAAAGCAGGGCACGAAGCAATTCAGTGAGACCCTGTCTCTACATTAACTACATAAAAGGGCTGGGGATGTGGCTCAGGGATCCAGTGCCCCAAGTTCAATCCCTGGTACCAAAAAAAAAAAAAAGAAAGAAAGAGAAAAAGAAAATTAACGAACTTGAAGCTACAATGATATATTCTACAAAGTCAAACCAAAAAATACATCAAACACATTAAAAGAATCACCTATGGGTAGGTAGAAGAAAATAGTCCCTGATGACTAATAACAATATACCAATAATGGGATTAATTCAGCATTACTCCTAACATTCAAAACCAAAACAAAATATGGGACTCAACAGCAAATAAAGCTTGATTCAAAATTACAGTTCTTCTTAAGACTTGATCTCAGCTATAAAATTAGGACAAAACCACCTGCCTGGCCTGACTACTACAAACATCAAATACCAGCAAGAACATCATAATATAAAATTAGTTCCCTCTCTGTCCCCTACCAGAGAGTTTAACTATCTTCGCAGGTCCCACCTAAGAATCCCAGAGAGCACTAGTTTCCAATTTCTATCCATTCTAGTCTCCAACTTTCAGCATATATAAATTTGGTGAAATCTCTCAGCAGTTTTCATTAACTTAGAACAGGGCTATCCAATACAACTTTCTGTGATGATACAAAGGAATGTTTCCTATCTATATTGTTCAACACAGTAGCCACAGCAATGTGTATGAAGCTATTGAGCCCTTGAAATATGGCTATTTTAATAAACCAACTTAACTTTTAACTTTACTTTATTTAAAATAATTTAAATTTAAACAAAAATAGTCATGTGTCTAATGACTACCATATTATACAACATAAATTTATTAGAGACTAAAATAGGTTAACAACTACACATTACTCAAATATTTCATTTTAACTATTATTTTCAAACAGTAGCCTATCCTCCAACACACCCACACTCTTCCACACAATTAAATGTGGACATATTTTAGTTAATTAGTATTTCACAGAATTAAATTACTTAATATTCCCTGATACAAGCTTTTCTTATATTTTTATAAATTGTACTAATGCAGAGAAAAGTCACAGGTAATCTTTCCACTAATACACAAACTACCAAAAACAGTCAATACACAGAAGGCTTACTCTGATATATCTTACATTTTATAATTTATTCATATAAAAAATCAATAATCTCCTGAATTTATAAATATACTAAAGTATCTTTGTATTTTAGATAATTTTTCCTTAACATACACAAAATGATCTTTTTGTGACAGAAAAAATTCTTTCCTAGCTTGGTATACATATTACAATTATCACATTTTGGATTTTCTTTAAGTACACCACTCATGGGAAAACAAATACATGTGTTCTACATATGCAAAATACACTAGCCATCCCCTAACAATATCTACTTATTAGAAATTGCTGATTTGATTGTGCTGTCTCAGCTATCTTCTTAATAGCTCAAATACTTCTGCCTTGCAACAGGGCTACAATGGCCAGCACTGCCTCATGGAGCTCACAGTCTAGTAAAACACAAGTGACTAGGGGAAGAGGTTGCAGGGTAGAGGGGGTATGTATTTCCCAAACATTTTCTTATCTCAGAGAAGAGTACTATGTTAAACAACAGACTAGGAAGCATTTCATCCTAGATCCTTATTCTGATGTTGAAACTTCACTGTCTAGAACCCTAACCCTAACCCTAACCCTAACCCTAACCCTAACCCTAACCCTAACCCTAACCTGAAAGTCAGAGTTTAAGCTGGGCAAGGTAGTGCATGCCTATAATTCCAGCTACTCGAGAGACTGAGGTAGGAGAATGACAAGTACAAGACCAGCTTGGACATCTTAGCAAGATCCTGTGTCAAAAAGAAAAGCAGATCTAGGGATTTAGTTCAGTAATGGAATATTTGCCTAGCAATTGCAAAGCCCTGGATCCCACCCCCAGCACCACCAAGAAAAAATGGTTTAGTGATTTAAGAATGTTAAAAGTTTTCATAACAAGAGTAACTCAAAGTCACTACCAAAAATAGAGTCAAAGTTAAAATTATTCCCAAAATTCCTAAGAAAAGATTTTCCTTCACTCTAATTTTAGGTTTATAAGAGTAACTATCCTGCATCCTCCAAATAGTTCCCAAATGAAGGGGAAATTTTACTTAGGGTTCAGAAAATTAAATCAAAAGCTATTTGTTGGGTGGAAATGTACCTCAAGTAGAGCACTTACTTAGCATGCAAGAGGCCCTGGGTTTGATCCCTAGCCCCTCAAGCAAGCAAACAAAACCAGGCTACTTTTGTTAAGTATTAAGGATTCCTTTCCCCAACAGCATTTTTTTTCCTTTTTCTATCCATCCACCCAATACTCTGTAAACAAAAGAAGCAAAAATACCAAAAAGAGTAGAATTCTGAAAGTACATCCCTATACTTTCCAGACATGATTGTCTCCATTTTAAATATAATTTACAATAATAAAAAAGATAAAATACTAAGGAATAAATCTAATAAAATACATATAGAATCTATATAATGAAAACTACAAAATGCTAATGGGAGAAATCAAAGAACCCTTAAATAAATGGCAAAAAAAACCACTCTGTTAATAAATTTGAAAATTCAACCCATTGAAGACATCAATTCTCCCCCAAATTATTCTAGACTTACTACACTCCTAATCAAAATCCAATCAGGAAATTTTTTTTATAAACATAGACAAACTGATTTTAAAATTCATGGAAAAAGTTCCTTTTTTTAAATTAAGAGTTAAGTTGCAGAAATCATACTACCTAATTTTGAGACAGTATAAAGCTACAATAATCAAGACAGTGTGATATGGAATAAAAAAGACAACAGAGAAACAGAACCACATACATATGGACAATTTTTTTTTTCTTTTTTTCTTTTGCAGTACTGAGGATTGTAAACCCTGGGCATCTGGCATGCAAGGCAAGTACTCTGCCACTGAGCTATCTTCCTAGCCCTTTATTATTTTATTTTCATACAGAGTCTAGCTAAGTTGCCCAGACTGGCCTTGAACTTGAGATCATTCTGCCTCAGCCTCTCAAGGTTACCTGGGATTGCAAGTGTGTACCACCACACCTGCTGGACAGATGGTTTTTGACAAAGATGAAAAGGCAATTCAATGAAGTCTAGTCTCTTAAACAAATGGTGTTTGGTTACAATTGGACATTCACATGTTAAAAAAAAAAAAAAAAGAAATGGAACCTTCTTCTAAAACTCACACCTTATACAAAAATAAATTCAAACAAAAGGCATCATAGACCTAAGTATAACATGCAAAAAAATAAGACTTCTAGTAAATATTGGGGAAAATATTTGCATCCTGGTGTTAGGCAAAGACACTAAAAATGTGCTCCATAAAAGAAAAAGCTGATAATTGGTCTTTACCAAACTCAAAACTGTTTGCTTTTCAAAAGACACAGTTAAGGTGATGAAAAAAATATGACTACACAATGGGAAATGATATTTGCAAAGGACCTATCAAAAAAATATATCCAGAATATAAAGAATTCTCAAAACTTTAGAGCAAGAAAATAACCCAAACAAAAAATGGGCAAGATTGTCTCAAAAAGGTTAAATAATGATTATTTTATGATATATTTATATCATATATTATATGATTCTATTTATATGGCATTCTCAAAAAAAATAAAAGTACAGTGATGGAGAGTACATCAGTGCTTGCCAGGGGCTAAAGAGTGAAGGAAAGAGTGTGGAAAAGGGACAACCTGAAGAAACTTTTTTAGGAGATGGAATTATTCTGTTTCCTGATTATGGTGATGGATACAATCTATCTATACATGTGTTACGATTCATAGAATTATATAACAAAGTTAATTTTAATATGTTACTTTTTAAAATGATACTTAAGAAGGAAAGTGCTACCTCCTTCCAGTCTTCTCTCAAAGAAACACAGTCCAGGCTCTGCACAAGGCACTAAGAATATACCATTAAAAAAGCATCTCCTCTCAAAAAAGAAATCCAAGTACGTTATCATAAAGGCTTTGATGAAAGAGTTTATACTACACTGAGAGCCATGCTTTGAGAGGCATCAAGGAGAACATAGGGCATAGCTGACAATAGAAATAAGCAGGATTGCAAAGACAGAAAGAAAAACTTCTTAGAGAAGAAAGCATATAAGAGAAAGAAGCACATAGTGTCCTAACATAACCTGGAAAACTACAAATATTTCCTTCTCAAACAAGGGCTACTTAAGAATATGATCAAAAATTGAGGGCTGGAGATAGGGCTCACTTGGTAGAGTGCTTGCTTCACATGCATAAGACCCTGGGTTCAATCCCCAACACCACCAAAAAAAAAAAAGAATTGAAAGCAGGTTGCCTCTAAGCAATACAGTCTTTCAATGGGAAGTTTTGCTAATGACAGTTTTCAAAGTATTTCAAGTCTTTGTTCCCCTTTGTTCATATCACACAGTGATTGTGTTATCTATGTGTCCATTTTGGTCAAATGACAATAAGACTCTTGTGGGGACACATAGGTATTCCCATATGTATATGTATATCTACAGCACCTAAAAAAATGTGTTTTAAACAGGTAACACAGGTATTCCACAGAATAGCACTGGGATTAAAAGTACTGCTCAAACTAGGGAGATTTACATATTCATTTACATATTCGTTCACACACCAGAAGAGTCAATACTGAAAAGACATTAATTCTTCTGAAACTGATCTCCAATCTCAATGTAATCCCAATCAAAATCTGGGCAGGCATTTTTGTAGAACTTGACAAAATGATTCTTAATCATATGAAAATGTTAACAATACAGAATAGCCAAAATACAAATATTGAAAAGCAAGAGTACTCAGACCACCTGATTTCAAGGGTTAGTAAAAAGTCATAGTAAATGAGACTGTGTGGTAGTAAGAGAAATGAAACCAAATGTACATAAAATGACTTGTATTTGAATGTTCATATTTCAAATAATTGGAAGAAGCCAGATCAAAAGAAAGCATATATTATATGATCCCTTTTATATAAAATTCTAGAAAAATGCAACCTAATCTATAATGATAGAAAGCAAACCAGTGGTTGCTTAGAAACAGGGTTGGGGAGGAAACTGACTGCAAAAGTGCATGAAGGAATTTGTACAGACCTGACTATGGTGGTGATTACACAACTATATACATGTGTCAAATTCATCAAACTGTGCACTTGAAATTGGCAAATTTAATTGTATATAAACTGTGCCTCAATGTAAACAAAATTAAATCATAAGGCAGCACTGTCTTTTAATAATGAAAGCATACACTTTGCATTCCACACTGATGAAAAGAATACAGACAAGAATTACCATTCATTTCATGTTATTGAGAAATCTATATTACAATATGAAAATTTTGCAAACTTAATATGCTGAAACAAGCAAAAACCACTGCTGATGATTCTTTTATATGTTTCTCCTTCAACTAAAAAGAAAACTTACACAAGAATTTTCCAACTCTGAATAAGAGTATCTATTTTTGAGATAAAAATTAAGAAGCAATAGAGAGTTTAACGAGGGAATTTGGTTTTTTTTTTGTTTTTGTTTGTTTATTTTGTGGTGTTGGGGATTGAACCTAGGGCATAATATATGTAAGGCAAGAACTCTACCAACTGAGCTACATGCCCAGCTTAACTAGGGATTTGTTAGCATGTTTGTAACTAGCCACAAAATTAACTAAACCTGCCAGGTGCCAGAGAATTGCAAACAAAGTACAAAGGAATTTTAAGAAGATGAAATATCTCTTTTGCTATCCAAAATATAACAAAGAGTTATTTCAACAATTCTAATTCTGCTCCTATAGAAATAACCCTGCAAAGATCAAGAATACAGAAACTGTTTAAGCTAGGATTAAATCAATAATAGGAAATATATAGAGAACATTCCCAATTTTTATCTCAAGAAGTTCTCAGGGGAACACTACTTACCTAATTAATTCTTCTGAGCAAAGATGTTTTTCTCCTTAAGTATCAAAAAATAATATTTTGTTTCATAATAGTAAGTACAGTTATATTTAAGTATATTTCCATGTTAACCCTCAAATCTTAAATTTAAAATATAAATCTGTAATATAAATAATAAATGAGATAGGATAAAAGAAGGCAATGTAAGCAATTTTCAGATTCAAATAACTATAGCAATACGCAGCATGCACATTTTACGCATTTGTTAAGACAATGTGCTATGTCATCTTCTAATTTATACTGTCAAAAAAGTTCATTCAGGCTGGGCACAGTGGCACACACCTGTAATCCCGGTGGCTCAGGAGGCTAAAACAGGGGGATTACAAAATCAAAGCCAGCCTCAGCAATTTAGCCCTAAGCAACTCAGTGAGACCCTGTCTCTTAATAAAACAGAAAAAAAGTGCTGGAGAGACTGAAGATATAGCTCAGTTGGTAGAGTGCTTGCCTTGCAGGTACTGAAGCCCTGGGTCAATTCTCAGCACCATAAAATAAATAAATGTGCTGGGGATGTGGCGAAGTGGTTAAGTGCCCCTGAGTTCAATTCCCAATAACCCTGTCCCCCAAAAAAAGTTCATTCAGTAAGTAGTTCACAGCATATGACACTTATAATCTGAATTTAGTTAAGCTTTCCTTCAGTAAAGAAGGAATAACTATCAGCAATAACTACCAGCAATAACTATCAAACCCAGTGCTTCCAATTCAAGTTCTTCACACATTCACACCTCCAGGACTTATGTGCATAGAGTTATCCCTTTCTTCTACCTTCTATGCCCTCTTCTTTTCTGGATTCTTCCCAACTTTCACCACCTATCTTAATTGGTACATATTCCCCTGAGCCACAGGCATCTCTTTGTCTTCTGAATTCCCACAGCTCCTCTCTGGAGAGTCTTATGGCCCTTGACACTATCCTACTATACTTCTTTAAGTACAATAAGCTCTGTTCTAAGTATCCTTGAAAGGAAGGTCCATGCTATATTCAGCCTTGTACTCTCCATAGGGCCTGGTGCCTAGAACTAAACTGGTATGTGCTGGGTGTGCTGCTTAGAATGGAGAGGAAAACATTCAACAATGTGTTTTAAGAACTGTGCACCATGAACTTAGTTGACACAAGAAGAAAATACCAATGATAGAGACCTACTCTAAATCTACCAAGAGACACTGTCATGTCAGCAAATTAATACAATATAATTTCGGTAAGTGTAATGGGGACACCATGTCAGTTGAACATTGCTCTGATTCTATAAACTACACGTTAGAAAACTTAAGTCTAGATTTTTGAAGGTCCCAATGACCAAAAATGTTTTTGGTTTTTATCTTTATTTTGTTTATTTATACTTATGTGGTGCTGAGGATCAAACCCAGTGCCTCACATGTGGGAGGCAAGGACTCTCGCACTGAGCCACAACTTCAGTCCTGAAAAAATTGTTTTAAAGTGAGATAACAGGGGCTTTTTGATGTTATAAAAATTTCTTAAAGACAACCTAAAATCAACACTCCACCAATATAACAACCTTATTTAAAAACACAGAGCAGCAAATTTCTCCCTATTCTCAGCAATCAGCAATAAACCAGACCCCATTGTCTCTTCTCTTTAAACAAATTTGCTCATCCCACCATTTCACATTTGTCTGTACACCATTTCCATTTACCATGTGCCACTCACATGTCCCAAAATCTGCTTATATAGATATACTTCAGGTTCTTCTCAAGGTCTACTTCCTAAGCTCTCTATCACATATGAGTACTGTATTTTACAAATATTGTACTATGATGACTTAGTCTGTACTTCTCTTCTTTAAGAATTAATAAGGGGGGATGGGGATGTGGCTCAAGCGGTAGCGCGCTCGCCTGGCATGCATGGGGCCCGGGTTCGATCCTCAGCACCACATACAAACAAAGATGCTGTGTCCACCAAATACTGAAAAATAAATATTAAAGTTCTCTCTCTCCCTCTTTCTCATTCTCTCTCATTCTTTAAAAAAAAAAAAAAAAAGAATTAATAAGGGGCTGGGGATGTGGCTCAAGCGGTAGCACGCTCGCCTGGCATGCGTGGGGCCCAGGTTTGATCCTCAGCACCACATACAAACAAAGATTTTGTGTCCGCCAAAAACTAAATAAATAAATATTTTTAAAAAAGAATTAATAATAATAATAAGTCATAACATTTTATGGATCTTAGAGTTAAGGAAAACTGGTTCCATACACCAGATCTGCTACTGTCTTGCAATGTAAAGCTGGGCAAGGTACTAAACTTTCTTGGGCCTGGCATGGTGGCACTGGCCTGTAATCCCAGCAACTTAGAAGGCTGAGGCAGTGGGATTCAAAGTATCAGACCAACCTCAGTAACTCAGTGAGGCCCTAAACAACTTAGTAATACTGATTCTTTCTCAAAATAAAAAATAAAAAGGTTCAGGGATGTAAGCTCAATGGTAAAGCCTCCCTAGGTTCAATCCCCAGTACTTCCTCAACCCCCCCCCCAAAAAAAAAATCCTCAAATTTTAGTTTCCTCATCATTCAAATGAAAGTTAAATTACAAAATGCCCAATATACACACATCCCTTACATAGATAAAGGTCTATTCAATGTTGTTATTTTCGCTTTCCTAGAAGGGAGATGCAGACTCTCTTTAAAATTTACTCATGATGCAAAAGGAAATATAAACAAAATGGGTACTAAATTTTGGGTCAGTTAATTTTAATGCAAAGTAGCCTCACAACTTTTAAATCTACCCTCACATAAGATAACTTCAGTTACACTTTCTCACATGTCTCCTATGGAAAATCTCAGAGGCAAAGACAGCCCAGACACAGAGGTCCAAAACTAGCCTTACACTGACATCTTTCCTGCCTCAGAGTAAACCTCACTCTGAATAAAAGGTTAAAAGAAGAAATATCTTCCATTACATAAGCCAGACAATACGTAAATTAACATTTTTTAAGTGTACATTATTCCTCTGGAGCAAGCAAAGACAATTCTGCATATCTGGTTCTAAGAGAAAGTCCAAATGGGACGGAGGCTGAGTCATCAATGTAAAACCATCCCCTGCTCCACCCCAGAATGGGGACTCTCCGGAGACCTGCTTCAGTGGAGCCCCGAACATCCCCATTCAGCCACTACCTCAGTGTCGCTGAAGTACCCATCTCCGACGCTTGTCTTGCGACTAGGCGCACCCAGTCCCACTGCTGGCTCTGACCCAGAGTTAGCTACTCCCACACCAGGGTCTCCAGTCCAGACCCTCAGGTCCCAGTCCAGGCTCCTTCCCCTGCCCAACACCAGCACTCACCCGGGCGGTGACCTTATACACCGTGTAGCCCCTCGGGTGTCGCTGGGGTTCGGTGACAGTGTAGAAACGAGCCAGGTCGGCACTCCGCTCCCGGGGAGCGGTCATCCTCCCTCCGCTTCGGCCGCCGCCGCCAGCCCGGGATCATTAGGGTAACCCGGAGCCGCCGCGGTCCGGGTCCCCACGCAGCGGCCAAGCGGCGAGGGGGCGGTGGCTCCAGAGCGGCGCGTCCGCCGCCAGGCTCCGCTTCCGGGTCGGAGGAGACGATTCCGGGTCAGGCTGTGCCGCCCGCGCGCTCGAGGCGGGGCGAGTCCGCTTTGGATTTGGGGCCCCTTGGAGCCCTGTAGCCCACCTGAGACGTCTCTGCTAAGTCTCCTTGGGCGCTAGTGCCACCTTCTTGATTTCGTGAGGTGTGTGGTAGCGACGGGTGAGAGCTTTGGTCTTCCGCACCCTCGCTCTGCCCTGTACAGACTTGTGTCCAGTGGGGAAAGGATGGAGGGAGATCTCAGCCAGGCTGCTTTCCTTCCCTACTCGGTCTGTAAGTTTAAACACCCACAGCGACATCTCAGTACTTTTGCAGAAGTATTCCTTTCTTCTAACACGAATTCGCTTCGCCTGCGCACCTGTCTTTTCATCCCACCCCTGCACAGCAAGCCCCTAGCCCTGTGTCAGGCTTTTTAAAAATCCCCTCCCTTTCTGGAATCTGGAGCCTGCATCTGTCAAGGAGGCGTCTTACTTTTAAAGCCACTACACAGAGTTTCTAGTTCCCTCTGGTTGAATATCTGCTATTTGCCCATTCCTTTATCTTTTCCTGATCAGAGTTCTTTCTCATTCTTCAAAATAATCATTCCAAGTCTTGGTCATTCTCCTCAATTCTCTGGTTTTATTTGTCTTACCTCCTTGCTCTCTGTGCCCTCCCACTTAGAGGAAAAAGAAGAAAGGAGGAGGGGAGCCTTTGTACCAATTCCTTTATCTGACAGTTCCATTCCAATAAGACGATCTTCCACGTTTTTAAAAGTAACCACTTGTGTACTGAGTCTCATCCTCTGACAGATGTAAAGCATTGCTTCGTCGATGACATTTCAGCTCTCCTTTCTGTATATTTCACCATCAGCCTCTTTTTCTCAGCCACATATCCTTAAATCTGTCCCATCGTTCACTCATTAAGCCTAAATTCACAACCTAGTGCCAGACATCATGCTAATTAGGCACTGGAATTACAAAAATAGACCTTCCTCTCAAGTACCATCTAGTAAGAAAAATAAATAATTAAAATATATTGTGATTAAATACCATGAAAGATTTATATAGAGAGTGCTATTAAACATATTTAAGTTAGAATGGAAAGTTACCTAGACAGTCTGATAGAGGAGAACTGTGGCTGGATCATGAAAGAGAGAAGGGGGTTAGCCAGACAAAGAAGGGGCAAAAGGACATCATGTTATCTTCTTTTCCTGAGTCTCCTTCCTTCATTGTCACAGTAATCTTCAGTTTTTCCCAACTTCACTTCAATCTGGCTTGATAGCTATATTGTTATTCTGACACTGCTCTGAAAAAAAAAAGGTTTCTAAGAACATCATCTTATTCAATATTTTCAGCTTTGAAAGCATCTGACCATTTCCATCTTTTCAGAACCCTTCAGTGTCCTTAGTATATGAGTCAACATTATCTCTCTTTTTTCCTTTTACACTCAGATCACTCATTTTTTTCAATCTCTTTGGCTGGTTTCTCCTCCTTCCTAGAATCTTCAATGTTCTCATTTCTCAGAATTTTACCATTAGATCCTTTGTACATTATTTCCTATTGTCTCACAAATCTGTATCTCCATGCATCTCTCTCTTTATGGACTTGGCCTATATTTATCTATAGACCAATTAACACAGAAAACATAAGAGATCAAAATCCAGACTTTTTCCTAATAAGCTTGTTTTATGGCTGGGTTTACTCTCTTTAATTGTGTTTGGAAGTTATCTTTACCAACTGTCTCTTCCACTTTCTCCAAGTTTCTTTGATTTCCCATATGCCATTATTTAAAAAAATAAAAGAATGGGAAAAGATATACCTTGAAAACACCTCTGAGAAGAGTTTAAAATAATATTTTTTCTTAAGTTCTGGGGATTACATTTCCTAGGCAAATGCTCTATCCCTGAGCTACTTCTCCAGCCCAAGAAGAAATATTATTAGGAATGAAATAGAGCAAAATTTAATGATGAAGAAGAGTTCGATTCAGGCCCCAAAGAAAAAGTGATTCTAGAAAGGAGAGGAAAGGGTGAACAGCCTCTGTAAGTGACAGTGCTGACAAGAATACTCAGAGTCCCAAAGGTGGTGGCATTGTAATAAAGGTCAGACATTCTCTGTGAAAAACATGGCAAAATCATGGAAGCCATGGAAAAGTTAAAGTCTAGAATGAGATTCAATGACATGGCCACAATATAAATATAATTTATTTATATATACATATGTATGTATATATAAATAAAAATAAAGCCTGACAAAGTGGCAATTTGGATTGGATTACCAGAGAGTCCACTGTGTAACTATTTTAAAAAGCAGCATTTGCCTTACCTCTAAGTGGGATGAAATAAGCCTATGTTTACAGACCCCCACTTAAGACAAAATCTGGATATCATATTGTCATGATTGAAAATTGAAGAGAAAAAATAAAATCTCATGAAAGACTGAAAAAAAAAAGTTCATTAAGCCAGGCATGGTGGCACACACCTGTAAACCCAGCGGCTCAGGAGGCTTAGACAGGAGGATGGAGAATTCAAAGCCAGTCTCAGCAAAAGCAAGAGGCTAAGCAACTCAATATGACCCAATATGATACAAAATAGGGCTAGGGATGTGGCTCAGTGGTTGAGTGCCACTGAGTTCAATCCCTGGTATCCCCCATACACAAAAAAAGAGTTCATTAAGAAGACATAACAGGGCCGGGTTTGTGGCTCAGTGGTAGAGCGCTTGCCTAGCATGTGTGAGGCACTGGGTTCGAACCCCAACACCACATAAAAATAAACAAATAAAATAAAGGCATTGTGTCCATCTACAACTAAAAAAATTATATTTAAAAAAAAGACATAACAATCTAAATGTGTTTATACCTAATAAAACTCTAAAATGTATAAACCAAAAGCCACTGGAATTAAAGGAAAAAATATTCAAATCCACAATTATAGTTAAGATTTCAACACTCCTTTCCCAATAATGGATTTTTTAAAAAGTTAAATAAGCTAATAAGGATATAGAATATGAAAATGCTGTTTCTGTAAAGGTGCTTCCCACTTGAAACCATGTATCATTAAACTAGAAAATCTATGACACTAAATAGCATATAAATGTGAAAAACTGGTGCTGGGCACTCAGAATTTGGAGTCTGATCTCCTCTGGGCTCACCAGCAGAAAATAAAGTTTGAGTTCTCCTGCTCTTTAAGTGCCTTTGCCACTTGTTGCTTGATTCCTACAACAAATAGACCTATCACAAGTATTAAACTAAAATTCTTGAGACTGAAAAATCTCTGAAATTAAAAGGGTGTATTCAGCTATTACATGTGCTAACCAAAAAATGGACCAGGTGCTAAATAGACGTTCTCTCAACCAGCAGCAGGGATACACAGCAAGTAGCAACATGCCTTCTGGATCAGTACTGAAAGTAAGTTTTTATTTTGTTTCATTTTCTGATACCTGGGCTTGAACCAAGGGGTGCTTAGCCACTGAGCCATATCCTCAGCCTTTTTTATTTTTTTATTTTGCGACAGAGTCTTACTAAATTCCTTAGGGGCTGCTAAGTTGCTGAGGCTAGCTTTGAACTTGGCAATCCTCCTGCCTCAGCCTCCCAAGTCACTGAGATTGCAGTCATCTACCACCATGCCTACCTGGCTAAAAAATATTGTTTAGTAACAAAAATTCAGGAAAGGAAAGCATAAATTGCAGGATTATACAAAGTGGGCACATCTTTGAGATACTAGTGCAGTCCTTAAGGAGAATTAATTGTTGCTTCTGGACTGGTTGGGGCTTGACATTCCAGAAATTTATACACAAATGGGACACAGTAACACTGGTGGTCAAATATCATGGAATTTAAGTTAAAATGTGAAACAATCTTTTTGTTGGTTTTGTCGACAGTTATTAACTGGTTAATTCACCTTATCTCTTTCTACCTCCATCTTTTGACCCTTGTAATTAAATTTAAAACATCTTGAAACCTTTTTTATCAGAAGTAAAATATTCAATAATTTTAAAATTTCATACAAACTCCTCCAAAAAATAGAATATAAGGAAACACTTCCTAACTCATTTTACAAGACCAGTATTACCTGAATACCAAAGGAAGAAGGATACATCATGAGAAAAAAACTTTGGACCAGTATCCCTTATGAATGTATGTAAAAATCCCCAATTGAAAATTAACAAACTGCAGGGTGTGGTGGCACATGCCTGCAATATCACTGGCTCAGGAGGCTGAGCCAAGTGGGTCACAAGTTCAAAGCTAGCAAGGCCCTAAGCAACTCATGGAGATTCTGTCTCAAAATAAAAAAGGGCTCCAGATGCAGTTCAGTGGTTAAGCACCCTTGGGTTGAATCCCTGGGACAAAAAAAAAAAAAAAACTAGCAAACTAAATTTAACAGCATATTAAAATAAGTATATGCTATAACCAAATGGGATTTATGCCCAAAATGCAAAGTTGGTTCAACATATGAAAATAAATCAATGTAACACACCAAATTAATAATATAAAGGAGAAATATGTGATCATCTCAATAAATGAAGAAAGGGCACTTAACAAAATTCAACAGTGTTTCATGATAAAGTCACATGGCAAACTAGGAATACAAGAGAATGTTTTCAACCTAATAAAGAGCATTGATGAAAAACCTACAACCAACATCATAATAGTAAAAGATAAATCTTTCTCCCCAAGAGCAGGAACAAACAAGAGTGTCCACTCTTTCCCAATCTATTCAACTTTGCATTAGAAGTTCTAGCCAGAGCAGTGATACAAGAAAAGAACAAGTACTGGGAAACCAAAAAGATTGGAAAGGCAGAAGTAAAACTATCTTTATTTGAAGGTGACCATATATAAAAGAATTATTTTAACCCCCCCAAAAATTAATAGAGCTAAGAAATTCAGCAATGTTGTAGAATATAAGATCTATATATAAAAATTATTTATATTTCTATACACTAGTAATGAATAATCCAAAAGTGAAATGAAGAAAATAATTCCATTTATAATATCATTAAAATAATA